ATATATAAAAATGGGGAATATCGCACTTCTAACAATCTCTGCGAGTATGTGGGCTAAATTTAAAGAATCCATGCTTCTCGCTTGGACAACTGTATGTGGCCAACTCACGCGTCGGAAAACCTTTTGATTTATTCGTGTACGCACCAGACGGAAAAACAAAAAATATCGTGTATCCACAAAGCACTCCAATAAATAAATAAAATTGAAACGACACTTTGAAATGTTTTCCCGATGAAAATGAATAATAATAATAAGTTTCAATGAAAATGATAAAATGTAAATTTAATTTTATCATAACGAGTTTGCTTGAATTTCCTTTCTTCTGAGATTGCAGCAATGCGCGACGGGTAAGCTAGTATTTTATAAAATTTGAAAATTAAACTCTGTATCATAAATCACTCAGAATAAATTTTACATTCTAATTTAATTTTTGAAAATCGAATGATATAAATTACACAAGTTGTCTTAAGGTGTATCATCATCATTTCAACTCTTTTGATAATGCTTGATGCTTCTAAACAGCAATGAAAATAATAACTACATTACTACTTTCCATTTTAAAATATTTACAATTAAACAAACTTTACCGAATTTATTACGCCTTAAATTAAATTAATCAAATCTCTGAAGTTTTACAAAATATTATGTAAACTTTACCAAAACAGAAAATCTTACATTAAATACAAACAGAATAATAAAACTTAATTTCCTATTAAGTAGATTAACCTAAATTATTGCCATTGCTATGACTATGGAAAGTCCATTTACAAAAGAAAGAGGTTTGACTAGCAATTATGCCTCCCCCCGACAAGATTGCTAAGATATAGGCATAATGTAATTGTAATCAAAAGATCCGAGAACTCAGACCGACACATTTAATTACTTAATTATTTTCAAAATGTAAAATAGTCGATTATCCAAAATTAAGAGTGCTTTATTGTTTTGGAACATTTCTGTTAACTGAACGCCATTCAATTTTCAATCGTTTTTGGAAAAAAACCATGTTTAATTTTACATTTTTTACAGATAAACCTTATAAACATGTATATAAACCAAGGCTGTGGAGTCGCGTAAAAATCTACCAACTCCAACTTTTCCTTACCAACCGACTCCGACTCCGTTTCATATACATAACAAGTTGGTAAGTAAACAGGAATCGGAATCGGCGGATTTTTTGATGACTCCGACTCCGACTCCACAGCCCTGATATAAACATATTCATTGTAATATTAAACATGTGTGAATAATAAAATAAAATATTGATTTTGCTAAAAATAGTAGTAAAAATGACTGGTACCTCATTAACAGAAAAGTACCATTGTTTTTCTTTTCTTTGGCCAATTTTTCCGCCCTTAGCAATCCGCTTCCACGGGCAGCCGCCCACCTTGCCCACCCCGGGACTAACCAATTCTTATGGGAAAAATTCAGCAAATTATCACGATATGGATCCAGAAGTGACTATTAGAACAATAATAAATTAAAATAAGTTTTAAATCATCAAGCAGCACTGTTACATATTTTCCTCTCGGTATACCTTCATCTCCCACGTCTGTGTGATTCAATACAAGGTGTAGTCTATTTAATAAAAGAATTTTAACGAATAAACAGCATAAAAATCAAACGGCATTGCTTAAAACTATCAAATTGTTTTACCTACCCCATTCATATATAAGGAATGCGGTGACTCCGGTAAATATTGTACCAAATATGATAAATGTAAGTTTCATGGCTTTCTTAGAGAAGTCTTTTTTCCCATTATCATCTTTCTTGCGAGTGTCATCTTTGGAATATAAGTCGGCAGTTACATGATTTTTCACTTCACTAGACAAAGATCTCAAAGGGATGAGACTATTCGACCGTTTAAATTGTTTTATATTAACTAATCTATGATACGACGAAAACTGAGAAATGAATTTAGTTCTATAAATTAAACTAAACGATTCCAAACGTAAACATCTACAAAAACACGATCTACTCAACACTATGGCCGCCATTTTACTTCGACACATGCGGCTCCTACTTTTCAAATAAATACGGTTCATTCATTTTTTTATGATGTAAAATATAAAAACAGTTTTTATTCGCCATTCACTAAATTTTTATTATAGAAATATTAATATAATAAATAAAAATTGTTCGTTATAAAAATTTACTTAAATAATAATTAAAATACGTTTTCAAAATTTTTATTACCAGCCTCGTGGGCATTAAGAGGGCCCTCTTTTAGCCAGCCCATTATAGATTCGGCCAGGTCCATAATGGGGTTGATTGTGAGGGGCGGGACCCGACATATCCGGACGAACCACCCCGATAAATTCCTTGGGATTATTCGACTCGTATTCTTTTGTATGTAATTTCTTATTTTGCTGGGCTGCAATTTGAAAAAATTTAGACCTATAAATTCTCACTGTTGTCAGTCCGTCTGACTAGTGCGGTTCGCTATTCAACATTCCAGGAACAAATGAATCGTTCTGTTTTACGTAACGTTTTTGTAAACACCCTAACTCCTTTTAACGTTTCAGATATTACTTCGGAAGTAAACACAATAAATTTAACTTTATATTAATATGTGCTAATAATGTATAACCTACTCACGCAAACTAAGCGTCACTGTTAGCATAGCAACTGAAATAGCGAATGAAACAACCCGAAGGAAGCACTCTTTCCTTATATTGTATTAAGTAAACGGTATAAAACTTTGCTAGAAATTTAATAGCAACTAATTAATAGTTATTATTAAGTGATACTTTTTATGCTGATGATAAACTGTGGATGTTGTACTGTACGTATGTCAATAACAAGATGTTTGTAAGTAAATTTTAATCTATCTTCCATGTAGTTTTTATTTCAACTACTGTATAATCAATAAACAAGTTTAAATTCTAGAAAATAACATAGGTCTGATATGGTTTAAAATATTTCTATCAATATTATTATTGATGATTTTTAAAGTAAATCTCATCAGAAACAAGTATAGAAACAATATAGAACTATATAGCAGTCAAAATCCGTATAAGGCCGACAGTGTAGAGTAGGCCCCTTTAGCAACTTAGCGAGTGTTTCTAAGTCTATACACGGTATACTGAACCTGTGTGTAGATATAAGTCTATTACAAATTCACGATACGCATATTCTACACCTAAAAACTAAAAGTTCGGATAAACATGGTAATTAAACCGATAGGAAAAGAGTTATAGACTGTTTTATTTTCGTGCCAAGAAAAAAAAATATGTAAAGTTGCCATTTTTGCCATGCAATAAATTTAAAACAACAAAAGATTCGGGTGACAGTTTGTCTCGAAGTTCCTAAAATATTTACTCTTTGAGATTTTAATGAGTCGTGACTGGATTTGTGCTCAAAAGTTCCTTTATGCACAATCCTCAAAAGTTCAAAAAGTTCCAAAAGTTCCACGAAACGTTTTCGTCACTGCATTGCAGAAGCGCTTTATTTTTGTGTTTATACGATTGAAAATGGTAAATAATTTTAGTTTTGAGGTGTTGGCAGACATTCATTTTTATGATCGTGCAAATGGGAACTCGGCAGAAACGTACTTTTTTTCTTTATTATGAAGCCTCTGACGATTTTCCATCTAGATTACCGCACTTCCAGTAATTTTTGTAAAATGCGTGGAAAATACTTTGTACAGTACGTATATTATTCACGAAAGAATTAATGTTTGCAAGAAACGGATTATTCAATTTCCATAATCAGTTTGGCTAAAAGTAATCCACACGAAGTTTTTTCATTTCGGCACCAACACCAATTCTCGATTAATCATTGAAGACAGAATGTTTTGCCAAATAGAATCTGAAATAAATCATGTTGAGCCTTCATAATGAATTTCATAGAAACCCCTTTTTTCAGATTTGTTAAAAGATATTTCTTTAGCATAGAAAACAACCATCTATAGTCTATTTATCGTAAACTTATTTATCGTAATATCTACTGTAAACAAACTAAGACACACCTCCCTTCTTTTTATAAATAAATAAATTATTTAATGAAATTTCTCTACTGAGATAATGATAATTGTGAGAAAAAATAAATAAATAAATTTTAAATATTCAGAGTTAATCAATTTTAATACTGGGATGAATAATTTATAGTTTAATATTAAAAGCATTTTACTATATTACTTTTATCTTTTCTCTTGATAAATAAAAATACTTTATTTAATTAATTTAATTCCCAATGATCATTTACGTATTTTACGCTGATAATTTTTTAATTCGCTATATTATGGCCGGTCTTTTGTTTTCATTTCATTCACTACTAGACTCATTTGTCCCTATATCCACTTCGTATACAACTATATAACATTGGCATTTGATATTATTTATTTCTTGTAAAATACTGACAAGGTATGTATATTTGCTTACTTTAGAAGGAGATTTATTGTGATTATTTAATTTTTTTATTTATTCTCATTATTAATATATAATATAGTATTAGTAATAAAAGTTATACATTTATTCACGAAAGAAATTTCAATTATATATTATTTATTTATTTACATTAGGTCAAAATGAACCATACTCAAGAAAATAGGTTACATGGGGACCGCAGCATCAGTTTTGTGAATAGCGATAGACATCTTACTCAAGTAAAATTGATTTTCACTTATTTTATTATAGTATTTTAATATTTGAAATAAGAAATTCGAGTTATTCACATTGAAATTATTATAGAAAAATGACTAAAGCGTTGAATTGTTTAATTTCTATTAAATTGTTGGAAAATTTATAAAGGAAAAATGGTTTAAGCTCTTTTATTTTACTATGAAAAAGATTTGAATTACGCGTGGGATAATTTTAGTCGCTATTTTTAAACAAATAAACATTAAAAAGAATACATTGTTAATTAATACAGAAAAATAACTTTTATATTATTAATTACTTTAGAAGAAAAAATCGGCTAAATTTTGAGGGTAGAAATGAGTTTCTAAAAATATTGTAAATGCCGATAAGGAGTAAAATTTTTATTAAGTCCAACCTCATTCGATATACGACACAGCCTCTTTGACCTGTAATTAAAATTTGACCGATTACTATAGTTTTTCTATGTTATATTCTATAATAACCGAAAGCTTATTCTATGCCTTTTTAATTCGAATACCAGAGGAATTCGAAACATTCGTATGTGATCAAAACTTCGAATTATCTGTTTTTGAAAACCGTAGTAGTTTTCTTCAAGTATTTTTATGTGTCTGGCAGTATTCAAATTTTTAGTGGTATACTTTTTATTTAATTATTTTTATTTTCATTATCTAAAAATTTTAAGCTGAAATTAATTTTATATATGTTTCACTCTTAAAGAGAAGAAAAAAGGTGAACAACCTATTATCTAAACGCAAATGTCATTAAACTTTTAAAGTACATAATAACAATTTCGCTTACGTCCCAGAGGTTTGCGGAGCAAGTACCTTTCGAGGAATTCACGAAGGGTACTCACAGCGCTCACGAGTGAATAAAGCCACAGAACACTGCTGTCCACGTGGAATTTTTCTAGGTTTTCTTCGCGTGTCTAACAACTAATCACGGGCCAATTTTTATTGAAAATCCTTCCGAGAAACACTCCATCCACAGCAGATCGCCCATGTTTTGAGTTTCTTTATTGAATCACTCACTCCACAAATGTAAAATTCTGCTGAATAAATCTTAAATTCAGACAGTATTACTATAGTAGTTAGTCTATTTTTGATTTATACATAAAAATTTAACAAACCAACACCAACGAATGCCTGAAGCATTAATACCGTTATTAATACGTTGCGTTTAGTACAAATCAATAATAATATTAATTTGTTTACATTTCTGGCATATATTTATCTCAAAATTTCCTTGATATGTTAAAAATTTTTCAAAATGTTCATGTTAAATGACCAATTGCTCTCTTAATTTTTGTATTTCTTTAACTAGTCTTTTACTAATCGATTGTGTGATATCATACCTAACTGTTATTACGTATAATAGATATCGTGACGTTTATTGTCAACTTGTTTGTCTGAATTTTTTTCCTGTAATATATTGTTTAATTTAATATTTTTATC